GAGGGCCACTTGCTGGGACCTGATGCGCTGCCTGCAAGAGGTCACCAAGAGGTCGTGTAGGAAGGCACTGTGTGGCACCCAGTGACACCGACTGCTGTGGAACGGAAGGTCTTGTGGTGGCAGGTAGAGGGACACTGCCCATACCCACAACCTGTGGCTGCCAGAAGAAACTCCCCAGAGGTGCCAGCACATCTCTTCTTTTGGTTCCCAGAGTTCAGAAGTCTAAGTCAGTGTCAACTGTTAATGTCAACCAGTAGAGCAGGCAATCTTTTCTCAGCCTGAGTGGAACCAGGTTCTTTGCTCTTTCTTTCTTCTAGAAGCTTCCTGCACCGCTCGGTGTGCCTGCCCCACGAGACAACACCCTCTTAGCTGCCGCTTCCTCCTTCGACCTCTTCACCTCTGTCATATAGAGAGTTGTGCAAATTGGTTGAACTCACCCAGCCTCTCCAGAGAAATCTGCCCATCTCAGATCCTTGGCTCAATCACAGCTAAAAAGTGCTTTGACTTCATAAGGCCCCAGTCTGGGATCCCAGGGGTTGGGGGATGTGGCTCAGTTAGTAGAGTGCTTGCCTAGCATGCATGAAGCTCTAGGTTCGAGTCCACAGCACCACAATAACTGGGCAGGGTGGTACACGCCTAAAACCCTAGCACCCCGTAGGTGGACACAGGAAGTTCAAGAGTTTAAAGTCATCCTTGGCTATATAGCAAGTTGGAGGCCAGTTTGGGCTGCATGAGAAAGACTTTGTGTTTTGTTTAAAAAAAAAAAAGGTGGTGGTGGGGACCTATGGAGGGTCACTGTCTGGGCTGCCATGTGTGACCTCCCAAACTCTGACAAACATAGTAGTGAATGGTGCAGCCACCAGCTGAGACACACCCAGATCCCCTCTCCCCGTTACAACATGGCCTCCATTAGGCCTGCCCTCTCCTGGGCCTCTCTGAGGTGGATGGATAGTCTAGATTTTATGAGACCGCCCACCCTCCTGCCTCCCACCCTCCTCTGCTCCTGTGAGTGATTTACAGGACCTGAGGGAAGCTGCATGAGGAGATGCAATTGCTTTCTGAAACTGCTGTGTACCCAGGACAGATGCTCACAACAGGTGTCGCCTCAGGTCAGCGGGACTGACAGTTGAACAGCACATGTGGCCTCCTTCCCTGTCCCCACCCTTCACCTTCTCAGACTCGGCCAGTGCCTCAGAAAGTGTCACTCTTGCCTCATCTCCAGATACCCAGAAGATGGCAGAGTCCTTGGAGGCAGGCCTCTGCTCTGCCTGTTCTGTTTCTCCCGATCAGTAGAAGCCTGGGCCTTTGATCCCAGGCAAGAGGAGGCCCATGGACAGGGAGGCAGCAATTCAGTGGGGAGGCCCAGACAAGCTTCTCTGCCTCTGTGTACTGCATGCCCCTCCTTTATACACGAGCCTTTAGGCTCACAACTGGGTAGCAGACTCAGCTGCAGAGAGCAGGAGGCACTGTGTGCAGCCGGGGCAGGAGCTCACAGCCAGCCTGGCCGTGACATTCACCCATTGCCAGGGCGGCAAGCCAGCTGTGGCTCATCTCAGAGAGGCTGATAGACTCAACCAGAGTCCGTTCCAAGCATTGGAGTCATTTGGAGTGGACAGTGCTCTGTATCCCTGGGCTCTGTCCCTATAGAGGAAGACAGGCCACCGGTGTGCCAGGGAGCCAGAATGCTCCTGGGACCTAAGGGCTGGGTCCCTGGTGCCAGTCTTGTCCGTAGGGCCATACATCAGCCACTTGCTAAGAGAAAAGCTTGAGACAGACTCCCGTGGGTGACACTGGTTTCCAAACCTGCCTCCTGTGGCCAGCACCCCAGGGGCTGCAGGGTAGAGTTGACCTCTTTAACTTATCGGACACTTAAGTGAATTTGTGAGGGGCCTGGTGACACCGGCTCACAGAGTTCATCAGTGCCTCGTGCCAGGAGCCTGGGAGAGGGGCTGCCTCTCTTCCCGGCGAGGCTGGCACATTCTGGGAGATGCTTGCTTTTCTGTTCTGTGGACTCAGGCAGCTTGTTCCTTCCTGGGACTGTCCCACTTCCTTAACTCAGACTCCATCCCGGAAACTTAAATAGCTCAGGATGCTGCAGGGCTGTTTTTCCATGTTCTCTCTGCTCATCTTTCATTCCCTTTAGAGGTGCCACCTGGGGTGAAAATCGCAAGCATACTTCACCCCCAGCCCTGTCCTGGCTGTGTGACTTTGGAAAAGCCGCTTTGCCTCTCTGAACCTGAGTGTCTTCCGTTGTAAAATCAAAGTAGTAACTATCAAATGGTTGCTATGGTTTGAGGAGCTTATAAGTGTGTCCTTTGTTAGAAGCTGGTTCCCCAGTGTGGCAGCCATTGGACCCCGAGAGATGCCTAGGGCTCTAAAGAGAGTCACTGGAAGAGGACCCGTAGTTCTCATAGGAGCCCAGTTAGTTTAGGGGGGTGGGGAAAGGTCAGAGTTTCACACTAAAGCCCAGACTGGCCTGGAACTTACAGTGATCCCCATGCCTCAGCTTCCTGGGTGCTTGGATGCCAGGCAAGGCTCTTGCTGTCACGCACACATAAGCTTTCCCGCTATTAGGGACCCACTGGTCTTCCCGGTGGACTGTGAACAAATGTCACAAGTCTATTCGTCCCCTAAACTGCATCACATAGAATGGGCCCAGGAATCATTTAAACCGAAGTCTTCAATGCCAAAGGAACGTTGACCTGTCCCTCTCTGTGCTTGTGTGAGGACAGACTGCAGAACCTGTCTAGCTCAGGGTGTGGCCCCAGGGACTCAGCCTTAGGAGAGCCATTGGCTCAGGACATAGAGGGTGGCTTTGGAGTCACATTTGATTGTGAATCTTGACCCAATTGCTTACTAGCTGTGTGCCCCAGGACAGAGACTCTGTGATGGTAGGGTTCATTGAACCTTCAGGTGGCCAGAAATATTGGGTGAGTAGCCATGGGTGCCTGACTTGCCCTCAGTGGTAATGCCATGGGTGTTTCTAAGACCACCAGTCTCTTCCTCACTGCTCCCCCAGGTTTTCTGGTGCCCGCCTAGCTGCTCTCTGGCCCAGCAGCCCTCCTTCCCTCCCTCTCCTCTGTTATCCCAGGTGCCTAATCAAAGAGATCTCCTGTGCTGTTGAAACAGGCACCTGATACCTTTGGCCTTAGTCCTTGGGGATGGTGGGCCCCAAAGTCCCTGACAGGCAGGACCCCAAGAACAGTGGCAGCTCAGAGGTTTTCTCTCTCCCCCACCAGGCGACACTGGGTCTTAGCAACCAAAGCAACCGTGGGCTAAACTTGGCAGGTCCCCCTAGAACTCCTCAGTGCTCAGTGTAGCACAGCCTGTGTCCCCGGAGCGAGATCCCTTTCCCGATTGTGCAGCTTGGCACACAGTGGGTAATGCCAGGCAGCGACCAGGAGCCTCTGAGGCACAGCAGGCCGCTTTGGTCTGGCAAGCCCTCCTCCCAGTGAAGCTGATAACGGCACCACGGAGCCTTGCCTCATGAGGATAGAGCTCATCTCCTAGGTCAAAAACTGCAGCGCAGCCCAGCAAAGCTCAGGAGACCAGCTTGGGCTGTCTGCCCTGCTGAAGCTGAGAACTCTCAGGGCTTGCTGTGTTTCAATTCACAGTGCGGGGAAATGGGATACAGCAAGGATTCTTGATGTGTGGGTCTCGACTCCCACATGTCAGATACCCTGCCTATCACATATTCACATTGGGATTCGTAACAGCAGCAAAATGACAGTCATGAAGTAGAGACAAAACAAGTTTATGGTCGGGGGTCACCTTAACCATAACCTGAGGAACTGTATTAAAGGGTCACAGTGTTAGGAAGGATGAGAGCCATTTGGGTATAGGGAGGCACGGGTCTTACCACAGAGCGAGGCCCCAGTCTTTACTGCCTGGTTTCATGTCTCTGTTTGCCTTGAAGTTGTAGTCCATAGGAATTGGGTCCAGCTTAGAATTGGCAGCCATGACCCACTCTGGCCTCAGCCAGGCAGAGGGAGCACTCTGGTATTGGAGCAGAGACTTTTCCCCCCAACGAGGGAAGGTCCTCCTGGGGAGGACCAGAGAGCTGGGCTTCTGCAACCTCGGGCTCTCCAGGGAGTGTGATAAGATCGCCTTCCCAGGCCCCAGTGTCCATCACCTTCATATTAGACCTTAGGAATGCTTTCCTGTCTGCGTCCTCCCCGGCCTGGAGTTCCCCCTCGTTGGTGGAGGCAGGAGCTCAACGTTTAAACCTGCTTGGGTATTCATCTGCCCAGGCTACAGATATCAATTAAGAGCCTGTTGCATTCCTGATATTGTGTGGTGGGAGCCAGGCTGATAAGAACCTCCTTTCTGGATGTTGAGACATGGATGCAGGGACCAGAGGGCCAAAATGAGACTGTCACAGACTGAGATGATGGTGTCTGTCTGTGGGGAGGAGGAATTTCACCGGGACAGAGTAGAGGTTGGGATTCAGGCTGTCACGTCAGAGTAGCCTGGCATCCTTCTCTTGGGCATGACCTTTAGTGGTTTTGCTGTGGTTGCTCATCCATCCTTCGTTCCGTGACCCAGAGGTGTTTCCATTTTCTTCTTTGGAGTTGCGGTTAGTGCGAACAGTGTGAGTGGTATGTGCACAGGCATGCAATTGTGCATGCCTATGCGTATGGTGTGAAGGCCAGAGGAGGGTGTCATATATGCTACTCTTTCACTCTCAGCGTTACTCCCTGAGAGCGTCTCTCCCACTGAACTTGGAGCCAAGCTGGCCATCACCAAGCCCCGGTAACCCTGCCGTCTCCACCTTCCACTGTCCTAGAGTTACAGGCACAGGTGACTCGGACTCAGGTCCTCGTGCCATCTCTCTAGGTCCTGGGCCATCTCCCCAGCCCCCTTGACTTCTTTTGGTACCCCATTTTTATGGAGGCCCGCCTCAAGGTTCCAACCCCAAAACAGGTGTCTTAACATGGATACCTCACAGACTCAAACCACCCATGGCTTCCTTAGAAATGCTTTGTCTCTTTTTTTCACAGGGGGATCCGTAACAGAAGGTTTTCGTATGTCAGCTGGTCACGAGTCTGACCGGAGCCGCCTCCCCTGCAGCCCCAGGTAGGCGAACCCCCTTCCCTCCGCTAACAGTGTGTGTTAAAACCACAGACACAGCATCATTCCCATGTCCCCAGGCTGCCTGGAACATGAATAGTGATGAGTAGGTCTGACTCTGGGGACTGGAGAGCAGCTTGTCAGAGCCGAACCCCCTGCCTGCCCCCTTCCCAGGTTGCTACTTGTTAAGGACATGCTGAAGGCTGTGTGGCCCAAATCGGCTGAGCATAAAATTAGCTTGTGTGTATATTCAGCAAGGGAAAGCAAACTGGGCTAAATATACCACAGGGCCCTGAGCGGTCAACAAGCCAGATATAAGACAAACAGCAGACCAGTGGGAACCTGAACTTCCCAGACCCAGGGGCTCAGGGGCTGGAGATCATGGGTTCCGAAGGTCGCTGCCACTAGGCCCACAGCCCCGCTAGGGTGTAACTCGGATAGTTGAGTGCCTTCCCAGCACTCATGAAGCCCTGGCTTCCAGCCCCAGCATCGCATAAACCAGGTGTGGTGCTACATGCCCGTAATCCCAGCACTTGGGGGGTGGAGACAGGAGGAGCAGAAATTCAGGGTCATCCTAGGCCATATAATAAGTGCAAGGCTAGTGTGGGCTACCCGAAACCTTGTCTCAAAAAACCAACCGACCAACAAAGAGAAAAAATGCCCTGTGTAGATGACAAGCTGGCTCCTCTGCTCCTACTGCAGCTGTCTGTGCTCCACGCCTGAGTCCACACAGCACACAGCATGTGCTCATAGGGCACCTGCACACGTCACATCCATGTGTATTCACACACACCCTTGATCATGCATTCACACGCGTGCATGTGTGCCTGTATGCACACAGCCATGCACACACATGCATACACACCTAGGCCCGTGCACACAACTGTGAATTCTGCATGTGGCCCTTTTACACAGATGAAACTTCCCTTCTTTGAAGCTTCCAGAAGCCCAGAAAGCTCGAGTGCTTTCCTCCATTTCCTGTCATTCCTTGTCTCTGCTTCCGGAGTGTCCTCTCCTTCCTTCACCCAGGCGACCACAGTGTCTGCCACTCGCAGGTAGCCAGATGCACCAGATATATTTACTGGGTGGAAAAAAGAAGGTTCGGACTTCAAGCTGAGAGAGGATGTTGTCCCAGATATTTTTAGAGTAATTCTCAACAAAGCGGAGAGTTTCAGATGAAGGTGAAAGTTTAACAAGAAAACATCTCTACGGCATCACGTTTCAAACTCCCCGGTCAGCTGTGCTTTCAGAAAGCTTGGAAAGAATGCACAGTTGGAAACAGGGCCTGTCCATCTAAGCACCAGCTGGGCTATCCTACTCGGCACCGTTTCCTGCCCACCCCCTGACTGAGGGCTGGGCAGATTGGGGGCCCGTGCCCTCTCCTCCTCCACGATCTCCAATTCTGTCCTAAACCACAGCTTTGAGGCCTTGCCTCTAGGTGCCCTCAGTCACCAAGGGTTCTGGAATTGCAGCTCCCGAGAGCTGAGTCCTTGAGTACCTCCACCAGAAGAGAGATGTGTCTGTTTATTTGATTGGTTTGGTTTCGGGGTTCTTCTGGACTTCTGCCTCCTTTAGGAAGTGGGGGAGATGGAGCTGAGGCAGCCTCATCTTTCTGGGCAGCCCCATGGTCTCCATCCATTTCACTGGACATGAACTCAACACACTCATTGAGATCCTGGTGTGTGGAGGGCTGAGACACGATGAAGGGGCCACTGGAAGGCAGGCCCACTCTAGTAACTAGTGGGGCATCCATGAACACCCGGAAGGGGGTGACCTGGAAACTGCGGAGTTGCTGGGAGGGGGCGTGCCAACCAAGGGAGTAAGGCCAAGTGGCTAAGGAGGCCAAGAGGGCCATGCACATCATTCTTAGAAGAGGTGTTTTCTCCTCCAAGACAATAGGGAGCCAGGGAGAGTAGTGTACCGACTGACCCCAGCAGGCTGACGACGCGAGACTCAGCACCGACTGCTGCAGGCCCCCAGGTGACTATGCTATGACTGACCATGGTGCAGCAGCAATGCCCTCTTCCCCTCTTCCCCCCCCCCCCAAGCTCTCCTGTGAGGGCTGAGATCAGACAACACTTCAGTGAACCTCACAGCGTGTTTCAGCTGCTCTGAGCCTTGACCTCGGTGGCCTCCTGCAGGGACAGATCTGGTTTTCCCTTTTAGCGTAGGGGTGGTGGCTGGACCATCTGGAATGTATTAGAGGTAAGGCCAGGGTGGAGCCTGGTAGCTCATCCCTGCCTGGTCCTCCCTCACAGGCAACCTCCCCAAATCAGAGCTGATAATCTCCCCTTCCCTCTCCTCTTTCAGACCTCTCATCTGTGCGGTCCACCCCAGATGCCTGGCGCTTGAAGAGAGCCATTGCTTGAGAGTCTGCTGATGAGTTTTCGCTGTGGCACAGGAGAGTCTCTTCACCGTGTGGAAGGAGTGTCTGTTGCCGCTACTGCTTTTTCGTTTATCTTCTCTCTTCGAGCCGGGTCTTGCCCTTTCCCGCTGCCATGATGGCCCAGTCCAAGGCCAACGGCTCACACTATGCACTGACGGCCATTGGCCTGGGGATGCTGGTCCTCGGGGTCATCATGGCCATGTGGAACCTGGTCCCTGGTTTCAACCCTGCGGACAAGCCAACAACGCAGGGCAACAAGACGGAGGGAGGTGGTGGCATCCTCAAGAGCAAGACTTTCTCGGTGGCCTACGTGCTGGTCGGGGCTGGCGTGATGCTGCTGCTGCTGTCCATCTGCCTGAGCATCCGGGACAAGAGGAAGCTGCGGCAGAGCGAGGAGCTGGCCCGAATTCAGCAGCAGGCAGGAGCTGTGCCCTCCATCCAGGAGGAAGACAGGTGAGACTCGAGTGAGCTCCCTCCAGCCTAGGGTAGGGACACACTTGCATGCAGGCGTTGTTCTACTCTGAGAGAATACTTTGTTCTACAAGTCTGTGTTTCCACTCTCCTCCAGGAAGGTGCCTCAAACCGTTTTACAAACACCTTTGTGCTCACTAGATGCAGGCTTTCCAAATCCTGTGGCTGAGGTGGCTTATAACTGTGTACCACAGAAACTGGTCAGGCCTCGGGCACCAGGGCTCTAGGTCTCTCATTCGTCTCTCTGTCCCAGGTACTGTGTGTGTCTACTTTGATTTAAGAAGGCCAGTGCGCGATATTTCACTTGTCCCAAATATCACATATTTAAATAATAGTCAGTAGATAGGGGATACACAATAAAAGTTGGCACCTCTTTTAAGGTTCATTTCTATTGTGATAAAAAAAAAAAACTCTGACAAAAGCAACTTAAGGGACAAAGGACTTCTTCAGTTCACAATCCCAGGTCACAGTCTGTCATTTTGGGGGAGTCCAGAAGGCAGGAACTGTCAACCCCACTGTCAAGAACAGAGAGCAGTGAGGTAGTGTATGCAGCCCAGCACTCGGCTCTGTCTCTTTCTCATCCAGCCCCAGCCCCAGCCCACGCAGTGCCACCACCCTAATTCAGGGTGCGTCTTCCCACCTCCACTGACATAATCAATACGGCACAGCCACAGGCATTCTGAGAGGTTCGTCTCCCCGCTGACTCCAAATCAGAGGTTCTCAACTTGTGGCTTGCGACCCCTTTGGTAAATCTCTCTCTTCAAAAACATTTACATTACAATTCGTAACAGTAGCAAAATTATGGTCATGAAGTAGCAACAAAAATAATTCTACGTTTTTTGGGGTGGTCACCACAACATGGAGGAATGATTTACATGGTCGCAGCACTGGGAAGGTTGAGAACCGCTGCCATAGATGGTGTCAAGTGGACAGGTATAGGCTGTCAGCACAGTGCCTGGACTAGATATTCTCCTCATTACAGAGTCTGCTTAAGGGAGGAAGGGTTCATTCTGGCTCTCAGCTTGATGCTAGGGTCCATCGTGGAGGGGAAGGGTGCCTGCAGGAGGCTGGGATGAGGGTTATATTATGTGGGCAACAAGGAAGCAGAGAGTGGTGAATGCTGGCGTTCAGTTCGCTTTCTTCTTTCCTCACTTTCATACACACCCAGCCTGTGCATGGTGTTCCCCACATATCAGTCAGGGTGGATCTTCCCTACTCGGTCAGACCTCTCTGGAAACACCCTGGCCTCTGCCTGCATGGCTTTGAGCTTGATGGTGTCGCGGGGAATGGAGAAATGGCAGACGCAAGTAAAGCTGGGATTGGATGGGCAGTGTACACTGAAATGGAGAGGCACCAGCAACAGCCAGGGAACTCAGCAAGTTAGGGGGTCTCTATGGGAGAGTAGCCTTAGGCTGCAGCCATCCACAGTCAGGACTTCCTGCTCCTACTGGCAGACCCTCGACGAGGAAGAAGGCCTTGCCATTGGGATGAGGCTGGGACACTGATGCTCTTGCCATGGCCCTGCTTCGTGTCAACAATACACATTGATGCAGGGTTTCATCTACTCACAGCCCTCGAAGACATCCCAGAAGTGTGTGTCCTAGGTGATCCCAAATCTCAAGATGACAATGAAGAGGAACCCCTCCTACCCTTGTAAAAGAGTTACTGTCAATAAACACAAAAGACGAAGAGAAGACACTGGTCACAAAATAGACAAGTGTTCTATGATTTCATAGGTGTTCCATCTCGTTAATCCTGTGTTTCAAACACAAAGACATGTTCTCCTCCAAGCCCCCTCTCTTACCTATGTTAGCCATGGCAGGCAGCTCTGTCATCAGAGAAATACAAGGACAGTGTGCTACAGACATTATGGGGCCAACAAAGTGGTTTGAAAGGAGCCTAGTGCTAAGCCTGACAACCTGGAACCCACATGGAAGTTGCCTTTGACCTCCATCCCTGTAGCATGACACAAGCACTTGGGTGTGCAATGATAGGTAGGTAGGTAGGTAGGTAGATCGATAGATATGGAAAATTAATATAGGAGAACTTAGAGACAACCTAGTTGTCCATCAGTCAGGTGACCTCGGGACATACCCACCCCTGTAATTCTCCCGGCCACAGCTGGCTCGTGTTCTTTAATGTGGAACAACCCCCACATCACTGAGAATGAGGCGTAGTGACATAGCCTTCGGGGAAGGTCCCCAGCACATCAGACCTGTGCGTGGGCCAGAGAAGGACAGAAGCTGTCGGGTGGCCACGGTATTCACCATGGTTGCCTGTTGTTGGATGGATTAGGGTTTCATTTTAGGGAATGCTGGTGGGAGGATTTGCAAAGTTTGTATTTTCTTCCCTTAGATTATCTATATAGCAGGAAAGACTTTGTTTTATGTCAAAAATATTGGTCTCATTTTTCTTACTTTTTTCCCCGTCTTGGTTTTTTGAGACACTATGTATCCCTGTCTAATCTGGAACGTATTATGTAGACCAGGATGGCCTTAAACTCATAAAGGTCCATCTGGCTCTTCCTTACCAGTACTAGGACTAAACCATACCCTGGCATCATTTTCTGACCATGAAAATATACACACAGGCTAGGCATGTACTACAGTGCTGGGAGGCTTGTCTAGCTTGGGTGAAGCCCTAGGTCCTATCCACCAAAGGAAAAAAAAATTATATATATGATATATATATATATCATATATATATGTATGTATATGATAGTATTTGCTATGTTAGTGTTAGTCCAGAGAAACAGTGCCAGCGACTTGCTGCTGAATGACAGGGACACGTTCTGAGAAACGTGGGGTCTGGTGACTTTGTACAAACTGAGACAGCTACAGTGTCACTAGGTGATATAGTCTATGAGACCCTATGCCCTGTCCCCTGTTGAGCCAAGTGTAATAGCATAAAGGGAGCCTGACTGGATCTGTGATTGAGAAAAGGAGAGTCTGGGAGGACATGGCTCGATTGGTGGAGTATTTTCCTAACGTGCCGGAAGCCCTGGGTTCGACCCCAGTACCATATAAACTGGTGGTGCATACCTGTGATCCCAGTACTCTGGAGGCAGAGGCAAGAGGCTCAAAGGCCAAGGTCATCTTCTAAGGAATTAGATCATGGGTTTATAGAGGTCAGGAAGCCTCCTCAGCCCCTGTCTGCAAGCTGGAAAGCAGGGAGGCTTCCCAGAGATGCCATTCAGCCTTAGCTCAAGAATGTGAGATCCAGGGGAACCCTTGGGGACCATCTGTGGTGCAGGGCATAAGAGGCTGTGAGCTGATCCAGCTCCACAATGAGCAAGGGCAGAACTCCTCAGAGCCTCCCTTGTTCTATTGATGCCTGCCATGGACCGGATGACCCAGAGACCTTGGGGAGGGCATCTTCTGGGATTCGAATGTGAGTCTCTTCCAGGAAGGTCTTCTGCCATTACATGGTCATCACGCCAAATTAACCATCACACACACTTAGTCTAGAAAACTCCGGAAATATGCAAAAGAAGAGAGTCAATTACCCATAATCTCCCCACCCCTGCCACATGCAGAGGTGAGTTCCTTGAATAATGTGAGAGGCGTAAATGCTTTATGTTCCTTCTCTACTTAGGGACACCCATCTTGCTAAACATCCACAGCTGTTTTGAGGGCCACACCTTTGGCCAAAGGACTCAGCTGGGTGTTGGGATAAATATTCCGCCCTGTGTGTTATGAAGTGTGAAATGTTTACGGCCGAGTTCCCACCCAAACAACACCATGTAGGAGTAGTTCAGTAAGGCTTCGCCTCCTCCCTCCCATTACCTAAATCTGTGACCTTTGCATTCATCACATTTGTCAAATACCTAAGAAAAGGAACTTAAGGAAAGAAGGGTTTGTCTAGGCCCAGAGTTGAGGGCACAGTCATCCTGGCTGGGAAGAGACGTGGTGGAGGGAACGCTGATCACAGGTATCCATCCATGGTCAGGAAGCAGGAAGAGGTGGGCGCCAGTGGTCTGCTCAGTTTCTCCTTTTGGTTCAGTCCAGGACCCCAGCCCATGGCATGTGCCACCTACAGTGAGAACCGGCCTTCTCACCTCAGTTAACTCAGGCTGGAAACCCCTCACAGGCAGGGCCAAGAGCTCCTCTCCTAAGTGCTTCTAGATCCTGCTGAGCTGACAGTCTCATTAACCATCACAGCCTTGATGTATTTTTTCCTCCATCCGGAAAATGGGTGTAATACAAGTCCTTCCTTGTAGTGCAGTTAGAAATGGGAAATTGGTTCCTCTGTGCTAAAATACCTACTGATTAATTCTAAAGCCCACATGGTTTGCAGAGTTGGTCCGTGTGGACCTAGCACTCACGTGCAAACCCGAGCCCACCTTTGGTGGCCTTTCAGTGACGTGCGTGCTGACGCTCTGTGTTTGTCATCCTGCAGCCAGGAGGAGGAGGAGGGGGAGGAGGCCTCCTCCCGGTACTATGTCCCCAGCTACGAAGAAGTGATGAACACGGGCTACTCAGAAACTAGGGAAGAGGAGCAGAACCCGAGGCTGAGCATCTCTCTCCCCTCCTATGAGTCGCTAACGGGGCTCGATGAGACGACCCCCACGAGCCCCAGGCCGGAGACGGAGACGGCCAGCCCAGGGCACGCTCCCGACAGGCAAAACTCCAAGCTGGCCAAACGCCTGAAGCCACTCAAAGTTCGAAGGATTAAGTCTGAGAAGCTTCACCTCAAAGACTTCAGGATCAGCCTCCCAGACAAGAACATCCCTCCTCCCTCTATCGAGCCTTTGACGCCTCCACCGCAGTATGACGAGGTCCAGGCGAAGGCTCCCGAGGCCCGGCCACCTGACTGAAAGACCCTTCCGACGTCACTCCCCCCATCTCACCCTCCACACCAACAGACTGCGCCGAAACCACTTCAGCCCCAGATGAGGGGTCAAGGCACACTTAGCCACTGTGATGGGGATTCTGGGTAAGAGGGAGTTACTGTGGACCATTCACGGAGCCTCACAGAGCAGGGGCATCAGAAGGATGTTGGGAGCTTGTGACAATCCGGAGCACAAGGTGTGTGGCCTTGGCATCCCCTCCATCCTCCTTCCCACCTCGGGGTCGTGGGCCACACGCTCCTCTCCCGAGCTGGGATGGGATTCCTAGTGACTGCGTTTAGCCGGAGGTTGTCTCCTTTCGCTTCCACCATAGTTGCTGTGTTTCGAAAAGAAACCAGGTTTTGTGCTTGCTTTCCTCACTGGACATGGCTCAGCTTCGGCCAAAAGGGCACGGGATTGTCTTGTGAATAAAATGCCAAACGGGTGGGTGTGAGTTGTCAGGGAGGGCCCCTAGGGGCCCCTGGAGCTGTCGGTTCTTTGAGGGTCTAAGGCCTGATGACCTTCAGCAGTGGGTGACTGGCTGATTCCGAACACTGGTCTCCTGTGGGTAACGGAAGGAGGAGAGGAAAAGTCGCTGTTCTGTGTCTTCTCAAAAGCCGAGTGACTGGGCATTTTATAATAAAAGTGTTTTCTATGTAGCACGCCTGACCATTGAGTCATTTCAGCAGGATGTATCAGTAATAACAGCCAGTTAACATGGACACTTCATTCACTTAGTGTGAGGGAGCTGTGTTCTGAGCACCAGCTGTGCTATCCCATGTCACCTGTGCCCAGCCTGGTGCCCATGTCAGCCTGCGGGTTAGCTCACGGGCCTGGGTTAGCTCAGCACCCCACAATGCACCATGACTGAGAGTTCTGACCTCGGGCTGTCCGGCTCCAGAATCTGAGTTCTTACTCTCTCTGCCAAGTAACTTGGTAAAAGAACATTTACCTGACCACTTGGGAGGAGACCCGCCCTCATCAGCCCACAGGCAGCTTTAGAAGGCTCTGGAAACTTAGAGCAGCACCCCGCCTGGTCCCCAAGAAGCCCAGGAAGAAGCTCAGCCTGTCACCTACCGTCAGAAGTGACTGGAGGTAGATCCGTCCCCTCTGGGAGGGGACAGTGTCTGCTGTGCAGTACATAGCACCATGAAACACACGAGGGACCACAGACTGTTAAGGAAGGAAACAGATCTTGGCCCTGGAGGAAAGCCTGGGAGAGAGAGACCTGAGCCCCAAGGACTCTTTCTGTTCTCTGAGTTCCCCAAGGACTCTCTCTGTCCCACTAGGAGTGATCTGATGGGAGCCCCAGTGCTCCCTGGAGTCTGGAAGAGAAAGCGCTCTGCCCCTGAATGTTTCACAACAAGCTCCAGGAAGCTCGAAGGCAAATTACAGGTTTAGCCCCAGGCAAGATGGGATGACAAAAGGCACAAGTCTCGGTAGGGAGCTGAGGAGCCAAGCAGGGGATCTGGCTCAGATGGGAGAGGGCTTCCCTCACGTGCAGGAAGCCATGAGTTCGATCCTCAGCACCACACAAACTATTTGGTTTTGCTTTTTAGAAGAAGGGGTGGAGGAAGACCAAACAAGTAAAAGCAAGAGAAAAGCCCTCATCCTCTTCCATTCTTTCTGCTCACTTTTTTTCTTTGGCCGCTAAGAATCTAACCCACCCCACAACCCCAGGCACATGCCAGACGAGGCTGTTCCTCCGAGCCCAAGTCCAGCCCTCTCCCTGTCACATTTTTGTTCTTTAGGCAAATAGAAGGCAGAGACCAGGAAGGAGAAACAGAGAAACACACACAAAGTCACCCAGGTGTCCTTGAGCCATACATGGCCCCCGGACAGTGGAAGAGCAGAGACAGCAATCAGATCCAAGGCTCTTTTTTTTTTCATATTATTTTTTAACTTATTTTTTTTACTTATTACAATTTTGTATCCCAGCTGTAGCCCCTTCCTCATCCCATCACAATCCTGCCCTCCCTCCCCCCCTCCTCCAATGTCCCTTCCCCAGTCCACTGATAGGGGAGGTTCTCCTCCCCTTCCACCACACCCTAGCCTATCAGGTCTCATCAGGACTGGCTGCATTGTCTTCCTCTGTGGCCTGGTAAGGCTGCTCCCCCCTCAGGGAGAGGTAATCAAAGAGCCAGACACTGAGTTCATGTCAGAGACAGTCCCTGTTCCCCTTACTAGGAAACCGACCTGGAGGCTGAGCTTCCATATTCCACATCTGTGCAGGGGTTCTAGGTTATCTCCATGAATGGTCGTTGGTTGGAGTATCAATCTCAGAAAAGACCCCTGCATCCAGATCTTTTGGCTCTGTTGCTCTCCTTGTGGAGCTCCTGTCCCTTCCTCTTTAAAACCCCATCTCACACTCTCCCCAACCCACGATCCACGGTAGGAGCCTCGACAGCCTGGTGGTCCTCAGGTGACCTCCATGTTTTCAGGTCACAGCTGCAGAGATGTGAGGAAACCAGTCAGGAGCTGAGCTGGGTGAGGCTTCGCTCTGGGAATTTGGTCCTGGACTGTGTGGGTAGGGAATGGAGCCAAATGCCGGCACGTGCGCTCCATCGTTGCTTTAGAGTTTTTGACTGCAGATCGGTGCGGCCAGATGGCTGCTGCGACCACCCCACCATGAAGCACTGTAACGTGAACTTCAAAGCACCTTGTGTTACTGACTTTAAAGAAAAACGGTGTGTATGTGGTGTGGTGTGTGTGGCATGTGTACATGTGAATATGAGTGTGTGTGTGTGTGTGTGTGTGTGTGTGTGTGTGTGTGTGTGTGTG